TTCCATCTCCTGCAAATGGATTAGCTAGCAATTTCTCTATCATACCCGAAGGAATCTCAAAGTAAATATTTTCATAAAGTTCAGTAGGTTGAGGAGCAACTCTTTGCTCTTCTGGTCGAGGTGAAGATACCCCGAACAAGCCCCACAAAGGATTAGTTTCCATAGTGACAAGTAACAAAAAATTTCAGCACACTATATAAATGTTTCCTTACCAAGTTCCACTCACCAAAAACGCTACACTCCCCGGCAACGGTGCCAGAAAAGAGTCTTGATGACCCACAAGTGTAGGGGATCAATCGTAGTCCTTTCGATAAGTAAGAGTGTCGAACCCAACGAGGAGCAGAAGGAAATGATAAGCGGTTTTCGGTAAGGTTTTCTCTGCAAGCACTGAAATTGTAGGTAATAGATAGTTTTGTGATAAGATAAATAGTAACGAGTAACAAGTAAATAAAGAAGTAAAGTGTAGCAAGGTGGCCCAATCCTTTATGTAGCAAAGGATAAGCCTGGACAATTTCTAATAATGAGAAAGGAGCTCCCGAGGACACATGGGAATTATCATCAAGCTAGTTTTCATCACATTCATATGATTCGCGTTCGGTACTTTGATAATTTGATATGTGGGTGGACCGGTGCTTGGGTACTGACCTTACTTGGACAAGCATTCCACTTGTGATTAACCTCTATTGCAAGCGTCCGCAACTACAAAAGAAGTATTAAGGTAAACCTAACCACATCATTAAACATATGGATCCAAACCAGCCCCTAACGAAGCAACGCATAAACTAGGATTTAAGCTTCTGTCACTCTAGCAACCCATCATCTACTTATTACTTCCCAATGCCTTCCTCTAGGCCCAAATAATGGTGAAGTGTCATGTAGTCGACGTTCACATAACACCACTAGAGGAAAAGACAACATACATCTCATCAAAATATCGAACGAATACCAAATTCACATGACTACTAATAGCAAGACTTCACCCATGTCCTCAGGAACAAACGTAACTACTCACAAAGCATATTCATGTTCATAATCAGGGGGGTAATAATATGCATTAAGGATCTGGACATATGATCTTCCACCGAGTAAACCAATTAGCATCAACTACAAGGAGTAATCAACACTACTAGCAACCCACATGTACCAATTTGTGGTTTTGAGACAAGATTGGATACAAGAGATGAACTAGGGTTTTGAGAGGAGATGGTACTGGTGAAGATGGTTATGGAGATTGACCCCCTCACGATGAGAGAATCGTTGGTGATGACGTTGGTGATGATTTCCCCCTCCCGGAGGGAAGTGTTCCCGGCAGAACAGCTCCGCTGGAGCCCTAGATTGGTTCCGCCAAGGTTCCGCCTCGTGGCGGTGGAGTTTCGTCCTGTAAGCTTGCCCACGAATTTTTACAGGGTAAAACCTCTGATATAGCAGAAGATGGACACCGGAGGCCCACCAGGGGGGCCAGGAGATAGGGGGCGCGCCCAGTAGGGGGGGGGGTGCCCTCCACTCTCCTGGGCAGGGTGTGGGCCCCCCGGTGTATTTCTTTCGCTCAATAATTCTTATAAATTCCAAAAACATGTTTCGTGGAGTTTCAGGATTTTTGGAGCAGTGCAGAATAGGTTTCCAATATTTGCTCCTTTTCCAGCCAGAATTCCAGCTGCTGGCATTCCCCCTCTTCATGGTAAACCTTGTAAAATAAGAGAGAATAGCCATAAGTATTGAGATATAATGTGTAATAATAGTCCATAATGCAATAAATATTGATATAAAAGCATGATGCAAAATGGACGTATCATCACCCTGGTAGAAGGCGCAGTGCTCGCGAACACTCGACCGTACCACTACTCGCCGCTCTAGAAGGACGAAATCAAGCGGCAGGTCAATAAATGCTTGACACTAGCATCATCACGCACAGCGTCAGTCCTTACGCCACGCCGGTGCTCCTGGTCAAGAAGAAGGACGGGACGTGGAGGTTCTGCGTCGACTACCGTCGCCTAAATGACGCCACGATCAAAAACAAGTTTCCGCTTCCGATCGTCGACGAGCTCCTGGACGAACTCACGGGTGCAGCCGTCTTCTCCAAGCTGGATCTCCGCGCGGGGTACCATCAAATTCGGATGCGCAAAGAGGAAGAGGCCACGACCGCGTTCAAGACGCACCATGGGCATTTCCAGTTCAGGGTCATGCCGTTCGGCCTGACGAACGCGCCGACAACCTTCCAATGCCTCATGAATGCCATATTCAGTAAGTATGTGCACAAATTTGTGATCATTTTCCTTGACGACATCCTTGTCTTCAGTGAAATGATGGAAGAGCACATCGAACACCTCCGGATCGTCTTCGAGCTCCTGCGGGCGCACCAACTGTTCGTCAAGGAGAGCAAATGCAGCTTTGCCTGCGACCACATCGACTACCTGGAGCACGTCATATCCAAGGAGGGCGTGGCCACCGACAAGGACAAGACGCATGCCATGGAACAGTAGCCAACGCCGACGAACGCAACCGAGCTGCGTGGGTTCCTGGGGCTCACCGGATACTACCGAAAGTTCATGCCGCACTACGGCATCATCGCCAAGCCCCTCACACAGCTCCTCACGAAGAAGGGCTTCGCCTGGAATGAGCAAGCACAAGCAGCGTTCGATCGGCTCAAGATCGCGATGACAACGACGCCCGTCCTCGCTCTGCCCAACTTCGACAAGCCGTTCTCCATCGAGACCGATGCGTGCGACACGGGCGTCGGAGGCGTGCTCGTGCAGGAAGGGCACCCGGTCGCGTTCTTCAGCAAGGCGCTCAGCGTGCGCAACCAGAAGCTCTTGACATATGAAAAGGTGTTCTTGGTGGTGATGATGGCGATCGACAGGTGGCGCCCCTACTTGCAGCACGGCCCCTTCGACATCCTCACAGATCACAAGTCACTCTGCAATCTGGGGGAGCAACACCTCGAGACCGAGCTGCAACACAAGGCCATGGCGAAGCTTGTCGGGCTGCAGTTCCGCTTTCAGTACAAACGTGGCCTCGACAACGGCGCGGCTGATGCCCTGTCTCGCGTGGGCAAGCAACTGGACCTGGCCGCGCTCTCGGCATGCCAGCCGGCTTGGATTCAGGAGGTTCTCAACTCCTACTCCACCGACCCAAATGCCCAAGATCGACTGCAAAAGCTCGCCATCACCAGCCCTGACGACGACGGCTACGAACTGCACCACAGCGTCATCCGTCGCGGTGGCCGCTTGTGGATTGACGCCAACACCGCGCTTCGCACCAAGCTCATCGCCGCGCTCCACAATAGCACGATCGGCGGCCACTCCAGCGTCACAGCAACCTACCAGGGCGTGCACAAGCATTTCGAGTGGCGCGGGCTCAAGCGAGACACCGAAGAGTTCATGCAGCAGTGCGCGACTTGCCAGCAGGCCAAGCACGAACACTCCAAGCCTGCCGGGCTCTTGGCGCCGCTGCCCATTCCATCCGCGCCCTGGGAAGATCGCACTATGGATTTCGTGGAGGGGCTGCCGCCGTCAGAAGGCTTCGACACGATCATGGTGGTGGTGGACCGCTTCATCAAGTTTGCCCATTTCATTCCCCTTCGCCACCCCTTCCACGCGGTGCAGGTGGCGCGCGCATTCTGGGACAACGTGGTAAAGCTGCACGGGGTGCCCGCCTCGATCATCTCCGACCGCGACAAAGTCTTCACCAGCAATCTCTGGCGGGAGCTGCTCGCCGGCGCCGGCACGAAGCTGCTGTACTCCACCGCCTACCACCCACAGACAGATGGGCAAAGCGAGTGCGTGAACCAATGCATGGAGATGTATCTCCGGTGCGCTGTGCACGACACCCCGAGCAAATGGCGTCACTGGCTGCCCATGGCAGAGTTCTGGTACAACTCAACCTTCCACTCATCGCTCAACTGCACTCCGTTCAAGGCGCTGTACGGGAAGGAGGCCAATCTGGGAGCAATGTCGACATGGCCAAACGACGCTCCCACCGGCGACGACCTGGACTGGGCGGCGCACACGGCGCACATACGCGCCCAGCTGGCGCGTGCCCAGAAGCGTTGCAAGAAGCAAGCCGATAGCCACCGTACCGAGCGCCAGTTCCAGGTGGGCGAGCAGGTACTCCTGAAACTGCAGCCCTACGTCCAGCAATCGGTCGTCAGCCGGCCGTGCGCCAAACTCGCCTACAAGTTCTTCGGGCCATACAATGTCATCGAGAAGATCGGGCTCATGGCGTACAAGCTCGACCTGCCGGAGTCCAGCCGCGTGCACCCGGTCTTCCACGTCTCGCAGCTCAAGCCATTCACGCCGGATCCTGGAGCGCCGCATGATGAAGAAAGGGAACACGCCAGTTGTCCAGGTCAGGGTGCAATGGGGAAACAGCGCGACTCCAGCCACTACTTGGGAGGACTACGACATCTTGCGGCGACGCTTTCCAGCCGCTTCCATCTGGGAAGACGAAGACGCCAGCCCAGAAGACGAAGCTCGATCTCAAGAAGGGAGAATGTCACAGCTGGCCAGTAGATCGCCACTTGTCCACTGTGACGTGGCAAGGATCGGCCCCACCTGTAAGTGTGAGCGAGGGAGAGTTAAATATGCAGCCAGCCGCCTGTGGCACGGCATGGGTGATGTAACAGACCGTCTTCTCCAATCCTTCCTTTGAAAGCAATCTCATCTCCTTCCTTCGGTCTCTCCCTCCTGCTCTCCCTCACCTGCCCGATCCCCTCCTTCGTTCGTTACAGGAAGATCTCGCAAAAAAAAGAAGGGGAAGATTACAGAGTAGGATTATATAGGTTGTTACAACAAGTTAGGGGAAGATTACAGAATAGGATTATATAGGTTGTTACAACAAGTTAGGGGAAGACTACAGAGTAGATACAATGCGTGGTATACACAGAAAGAGTTAACGTATCTACTTGCCGCCTATCGTTTCACACCACACACACCAACGTGACAGGCACAAACTGAGCAAGCGAGCAAGGTTTTGATGTGCGCTCCGTGTGCGTGTTCAGCTCATCACATGACGCTGCACCCAGCACTAGGCTCCTCCTCGTAGCACTGCGGCTGGTACGGATTCCTGCCGTACCCTCCGACGTACGCCCCGTACGCGCCGTGGTCATACACGGGCCCGCCGTAGTACCCGCCGGCAGGTGCCCCTCCGGCGTACCCGTGTCCGTATGCGGGTGCGCTGTACCCCCACCCAGGGGCGGCCGGCCAGATGGACGGCGTGGCCATCGCCTGCGGCATCATCGTCATGCTAGGCGCCGGCGTCGGCATCCGCATCGGCGCCATGGCCGTCATGGACGCCGGCTGCTGGGCGCGCGGGGCCTCATTCCGTGACATCGCCGTGGTAGTTACCACCTTCGGCTTGCCGCCGTGGCCGTTGCCGTGTCCATGTCCGTGGCCTTGGTCGTGGTGGCCGCGCCGATCGATTCGTTCGTCGTCCTCCATGCCGAACTGGACGTGCTTGGTCTTCTCCGGCTTGCCGCCGTGACCGTGCGCTTGCGGGCCAGGGCCGTGCCGATCGATTCGTCCGTCGTCGTCCATGCCGAACTTGACGTGCTTGGTCTTCTCCGGCTTGCCGCCGTGACCGTGCGCTTGGGGGCCGGGGCCGTCGCCGTAGCCGTGGCCCTCCTTGCCGTGCTGCTTGGGCGCCACCTTGGCGCCGGGCTTCATCTGGTTCCCTCTGGCGACTTGTACGTCGGTGATGACCTTGCCAGCATCGGAGCAGAGCCTGTCGGCGACCTCCTCGGCGTCGAACGAGCCGGACACCGTCACCGTGTTGCTCTTCTCGTCGTACGAGATCATCTTGATGTTTTCTCTGTCTGTTGATGCATACAGAAACAGAAGTGAGTTGTCTAGTCCATGGATCAAGAATCTTTCTATTGTAATTTGCTCCTGATAGTATGTACTACAAGTTGATGCACAATTTGGGATCTCGGGGCAATTAACCTTGGAGCTTGCAGAGGACCTTTCTGATCTTCTTGTAGCATCGGTCGCAGTCAAGGTCGACTCTCATGATGATTGTCGACATCTGAAAGTAAAAAACATCTTGCGATTAGTCCCAACTAATTTCTTTTTAACAATAGTCCAAATTATTTTTGTTTGTTACATTCCCTATAAAACTTACTGGTTCCGTTTTATATAGGCATAAAGAACAGAGAAAATATCTGTATAAGAGAGCTTTGGCCTGAACTGAATCTTGCAGTAGTTTTGTTTCATGAGGGAAGCAGAGGATGAGTGCATCAGAATCCTAATTTCTTGGGAATATAGACTACTTTGCCGGCCGACATATCCCCGGATCAACAACAACTACTAGCTGCTAGGTAGTTGGTCGATTTATTTTAAAGAGGAAAGCATATCGGCCGTTGCCTTGATCTCTACTTCACGTCTCCTACTTTGGTAAACAGAGCACAAAGCAATCAGTTATCCCACCAAGCGTTGGTCACAGTACGCCAAAAGTACTGTAGTGATCATTTGAACACGGATTACTAGCATTAGAGATCTTCTG